AAATAAATAAATACCAGTTCCATGTAAAGTGCACTGGTTGGATCTCTGATATCAAATCCCTGATAGAGTGGCAGTCTGTGGGAGTGTGGCTCGAACTCAGCACCTCAGGATTCTATGCCCTAACCAATAGGCCACCACTCCCACAACATGTTCGTCATGTTAATATAACTGTAAAGCAAAGGTAAAATAAACAGAAATAATAAAACAGCTATTTTAATTTGACAAAATAAAAAAATAAGTTTATTGAGTAGAAATGTTTCAGGTGTGTTTTGTCTATACTAGAAGCAAACTGAAACACAAACAATGTTGCACTTCTATGTATGTATAAGCAAAATGCATATTTCTTTATTACATATTAAGGTTATGTGTCAGCATGCTTTCAATGACAGTAAATTACATAATGTAGCTGAAAATGAGTGACTTACTCTGTATGGCTTAACCCAGGGCAGGAGCGAACCCTGAGCAAACCTCCAGAACATGCCCTGGTCTCCTGACTGGGAGAAAATTAAAACCTCTTCCCCATCTTCACTTTGTTGGTAAACATTCAGTGTGCCCATTCCCTTCCCGTACATGTGGTACCAGAACTGCACACAAAATCCTTTACCTGAACAGAAGAAACAATACTGAATTAAAATACATATATATTCCATATAATTTAGCATTTGCACGGGTTGAGGCTTTGCATAATCTAAACAGTAAAATAAAAAAGGATATGCAACTTCTTGTTTAGGATGTTTAATAAAAAAATTCTAACTCTCACTTTCAGGGTATAGAGGTGAATACATTAAAGCCTTTTGGCCGGCTTGTTCATCTATGGAAGATGGCAGGAAGTAGTAATGACCCGATGGCGTGTTGGTGGTGTGATCGCTGTCTGGTCCTGTGTTTGGGTTAGCTGTGCTACCCGAGTGCCTGATCCAGTCAAAGTCATCTGATGTTGCCTGCTTCCAGTTACAGCTGCCCTCTTCAAAATCACACACATCTAAAGGGCAACACAATATCAAAGATGTTATACTGTTTTGTAGCCATGAAACTATGCAAGTATCATTTTCTCTTTACTACTCATTTGATTAAAAACAATAACAAAGTTTAGGCTGTGCTATAAATCAGTACGACAGCTGCTGAACATATTTGTGGTATGTTGATTGTACCCAAAAGTTGTTTTTTTAGGGGGGGATTAAGAACAGCACATAAAAGCAGTTGCGGCATATTTATGCCCATTTAATCACAACTATGTGCTAGTTTTTTCTCCCCTTCAACCTAATAAATGTTTTTAAATTTTGTATCAGACTACATTAACACTGATGAAATCGCGACAAATTAATTTTAATTTATCTACTCAGGGAAATGTGTGGAAATTAATTTCGTGAGTGATATGCGTGCTATTCCTATGTAAAGGCGTGTTTAGAAGTAAAATGATGTAAGGAATGTACGGTGTGTTGACCTTGTGCTGACCACGTAAATTAGTGGGTCAACCCAGCTCTGGCGTTTCCACAGCATGCTGGTCAGAGATGAGGCGATTTTAAAACGGGTCGCTTGCCGAGTCATTTGACCCGGATAGAGATCCGTCAGTGAGCTGATCCCACTGCCACTAAAAGTCAATTGTTCCCAGGGTTTAAACATGTTTTTTAGCCAGTGGGAAAGAGGTAGAAGACACTGGACAGAAGTGCAATTCTGTGTTGCGGCGATGGGTTGCAGTATCATTAGAAAACTGTATGCCTCTTTAAATAACAGAAAATATTTAGAAAATGTTTATATTATAGAAAAAAAAAGAACACTGATAAATCCTTTTCTGTTTTTAAGAATTTTATTACCA